GGAAAGAGTATCAACGTGGGATGTCTGGACTGCAGGAACAAAACAGAACAAAGCCACTGGTAAGAGAGGCTTTTAGGAGAGAAAACTGGAGTCTATGAAATGCAATCAGAAGAGAGTCTTCAGGTCACATCAGGTTTAAGAGCTATGGTTTGACACCCAAAGCCTGGCTTTTGGTTTTCCCGGCTCTCATCTTTCCTCAGGGCATCCGTCCTCTTTGATATTGCTTATCTTTTAAAGGGGTATTTTGAAACCCATCCAAGTCTATTAGCAGAACTGCTGAAAACACCCCCAGTTGTAGCCTCCAGTGTCCTTCCTGTCCTTGGTTAGAATCCCATAATCGGTAACTTGTCCAAAAGAGCAGCTGTCCTTCACTGTTTACCTTGTACTCTGTCTTCTGTCCATTCTCCCCGCCCAGGCTGCCTTCACTTATGCTAACCCACGCACTGCCATTCTGCCAGGCTTGCCTGGGCACCTGTATTTATCGTGTGTACCTGTAAGCCTGCATGTGTGCTTTCTCCACCTTTCCCTAAGATTTCCATCTGGTAAATTTTGTTCGCTTTCCTGAGGGTGTCAGCCATGACCGTATTCTAGAGTTACTTTTATTTTCACGTTTTGCTTTGCCCATTTTTTCCAGGGGAGTGAAAACCAGAAGAGGCCTTATCAGTTGAGACTGTCTTTCTTGCATGTGCCCGTGGTCTTTCACTCCTGACCCCAGGGTCTAATTTATTTGTTTTGGTTCAGCCAGTTGTGTTTTCATGTGATGAGGGCCATAGGTTCAGACTAGAGTAAAACTGAAGTTAAGGAAAGGGGAACCTCTGAAAGCCTGCCTGGCTTGGCCCCAGGCTCCCGTTAGAGCACTCTGGAGGGCAGCTGAGTGGGGGCGAGGAAGCCTTCTCAGCTGTAATCTCCACAGGGCATCTGTGGGCAGAGCTGGACTCCCAGGGAGTTAACAGAATACACAGAGCTGGCACAAAAGCATCCCTACAGGGTATATGTTCCTGACTCATGCCCCTCTCATACTCATGATTGAACCTGACTTCCTCCTGCTTCGTTGAAAGATCTAGAAGTGAAAGAAAGTCTGGAATACTTCTTTTCCCAGAGATCACTCCCTAAAAAGAGGGGCCCGCTCCATCCCTCCACCACACCGCCCTCCTATGTAGTCAAGAGGGGGAGCAGCCAGCCTAGGGACTCTTGTCTCCAAATCTTATCTATGTTGGTATTATCAGGGATAGTCACGGGCCTTCATTTTTGCTTTCCCTCATGCATGAGGGATTTGTGTCTCCATGGGCTCTGGGACCCTGAGGATGTGCCGTAGGTCTCAAACAATGATGAAGCAGGAAACGGGAAGGGGCCCCATGCCAGAGTTCTCAGAAATACCCCCTCAGCCTGAACACTCAGCTGCTGTGGTCTGAGCCGAGGTAGAGGAGGCTTCTGGATGGGCAGGCTCTGCCTTCCTCTCCAGAATGACTGGGGTTCCCTGTCTCTCCTGAGAAGCCTCCAGAACATTCTTGCCTCCCTTCTTTCCTTGAATTAGGAAGTAGCTTCAGTCAGAGCGCTTCATGTACGTGTAGTTTATCCTCTCCCCCTCCCTCTCCTCCCATAAACAGACCTGCAGTGCTGGTGGCATTCTACTTCTCTTTTTCTATTTGTCTCCCACAGGAGAGGCCTGAACCCCCCTCATCGTGTCAAGTCCATCTCCATGACGACGTTCACTGAGCCGGAAGTAGCTTTCCTGCAGTCCCGCGGGAACGAGGTGAGCCATGCCACACGGAGGACTTCCTCACGAGTATGGAAAAGCCCTACAGTTTGCTTTTTTGTTCGAGTTTCCCTTATTTTTTAGTATGTAAGGTATCTTCACTTATGTCCAGGTGTACATTTACAGATGCTTAGTTATAAAATTTGGGGTTTGTCCAGGCCCCTTGTTGGAAGAATCAGGGGAAGAAGCAAAATCTCTGTCGGGGGTGGCCCCTGGGCACGCGAGGGGGGAAATGCTCCACAGTGATGAGCGTTCAGGGTTGACTGAGCTGGGCCCTCCGAGCAAGAGCTCCTGGAGCCAGCTCTGCTGACTGGAGCCTCGGCAACTGGGTCTAAGCCATGTCATTTACTTGAAAGGGAGTTGAACCCCTTCTCCAGCTAAATCTGCTGGTGGGAAGATGCCAGCCTTGGTGTCAGCAGTACCCCTAGCTTATGGGTGACAGACTTAACTTGGAGGGTGCAAACAAGGGCCTCTAGGGGGTGTTCTGGAAGCCACAGTTCTGAAAATTGCTCCTGACCCCACCTGCATCCAAATTTAGTCCCCCTTAGTTCTCATGGCCCTCTGTTTTCTTTCACAAGATGTGTCACAGTGTGTCATTATAAAAGTATTTTTATTTATCTAAGGCATGACCTCCCCGTTAGATGATCCACTCTGCGAGGACAGGGATCATGTCTGTTTTGTAGGTGTACGCAGATCCTCACATTGTGTCCATGCTCGATAAACGTCTATTGATGAATGAGATGGAAATGGTTTGACTCCCATTTCATGCTTTCTGCCTCAGTTCCTCTGCCACCTGACTTCGTTCCTTTAGGTTTGCAAGAAGATTTGGCTGGGTCTTTTCGATGCTCGCACATCTTTAATACCAGATTCCAGGGATCCTCAGAAGGTGAAGGAGTTTCTCCAGGAAAAATATGAGAAGAAGAGATGGTAAGGAGGAGGAAAGAGATTGCTCTGGAGACATGTGTCCAAGACACACTTCATCTTACAGTCCAGTTTCCAGAGCTGAACTGGGGCTTCTCTCAAAGGCTAGACGAGGGTTGAGTCTGTTCCGTTCAGGTTCAGTTAGGGCCGAATTCTGACTTCAAAATAACAAAGGTACAGGAAAGAACAACTTGCTCTTGGTCGCTAACCTTGCAGATTTGATGTCCCCTCTTTTGGGGAGACAGTAGACTGGTTGGAGGGGAGAGCTAGAGCCCCCACTAGGGAGTCTGGGTTCATTTTTATAGCTCAGCTGATCTCATTTATGGAGAGAGGTGGCTGGGAGCACATGTCCTCTAGCTTCATGCTTTCAACCCGTGATTCATATGTCCCCTGTTTTCCT